GTTACTTCTAGGCAAACCGCCACAAGAAGGTCGCCCCACACCTTGTTGATTCAATGAAACCAAGACTCCAGAACTCTCGATCCTGCTTGCTGGTTATGTTTTCTGCACCAGCCAATAACCCCTTTACTATCTGGGTACCCCCAGGGAGCGATGCAACAACCTTGTCATCATGTTATCACATTCACAGTGGCTGGCAGGAAGGCTGAATAGACTGCTGGTTCTTAACTCCTCTCCCCCTGGACTTAACACAGAACTGTGGGTTACTGGACAGGGCCTCTGCATCGGAAAAGTAAGGCACTGTAAGGAGGCAAAAGTTACAGAAAAAGATCAGGACCCTCATCTGAATTAAAGTTAGTAAATTCACAGGCCTGAGTTAAAGAAAGAGCCAGAAGGCAAGTCAGCTAGGCCGTTCCAGGGACTGACTTACTACAAAGAATAACAGAACTACAAATACAGGTTGGTCAAGGTACTCCGGGAAATGACTGACCACAACGGGCTAGGTTAAGGTCACACTCCTAAGAAAAATGTGTGCAGGATGTTTCCCACTCCCCACCTTGGTTTATGGCTAACTGAATAATAGGTTGAAAACTTTTCACTATTTACTACTGTTCCACTTTTTTATTTCCCCCTTCACCCGCCCTGGTTTGCGGTTTTCTCCTTTAAATACCCCTTTCTCCCAAGCCTCTTGGCCAACACTCCTCTGCCCTTGCATGGGATACAAGTCTCGACCCAGCGCTGACTATGATTAATTAAACCTCTTGCTATTGCAACAAGTTTGGTGTCTCTCGTGGTCGTGGGTGAGTCGCATCTTCTCTAGACTTGAGTGAGGATTTCCCCTCTCTGGGGGTCTTACAGCACCAGCGCCTATTCCCACCTCTGCAACTGTACTGTAACTCCAGAGAATGCCTGGAGGGCTTCTACCTTGGGACTTACTCCATCCATTGATGGCCTGGTTGTAAATATGACTGAGGATTTCTATGTCTTCAACCAGCTAGCTTACCTCCAAACAATCAAGTTAAAGGGATGGCCATTTTCTGCTGTGTTACTAGGTCCTCTCCTTGACATAGGGCTGGCTGCTAGTGTAGGGGCCTCAGAAATATCCCAAGGATTCAAGACGGCCTATAACTGAAAGGGGGGAATGAGAAGGCTAGGCTGATTCCATGACAGGCTTCACATTGGCAGTTAAGGAGACTAGACCTAAAAACTGGGCAAGTCCAGGCAAGCCCAGGCAAGTCAATTACTAGTAGAAAAAAAAACCCAGGCTCCAGCCTTCATGCCCAGGTAATAGACTATCCTAGCCACCTGGCCTGAAGCAAGGACAGTGGGTCAACAGCAGTTTCCAAACTTCCTCAGCAAGTTCCCAGACCTCCCCAGCAAGGTTCCAGCCCCCACTCCCCAGTAATGGGATGTCCATAGAGATGGACTCAACAGATTAACATAGAGGTCACCTACCCCAGAATTCCCTGATGTGCTTTAAATCAGGCCTGCAAGCTCACTTGGGTGTCTTTTCTGGTACTGGGAGACCCCAGCATGCTGGACTTCTGCAGAATAAAACACTCTTTGCCTTTACATACTATTTGAGTCCTGGGTATCACTCTTTGTCGAATCATGGACCCTTACCGTTTATTAGCATATCAGAGCCTACCAGGGCTTGGCTCATATCCCAGCTGCCAACCTTGTGATTGGCTCCTCCCTTGCAGGCACTACATTATTTCAAGTCAGACAAAATGGTTTCACTTATATATTCCTAACAGACAAATTCTATGGTAGGCAAACAGATAGGGAGGGGACATGATTAGGTAATAAAGATGGTGAACTTCCAAGATGGCCAACTTTGTCCTCACCCTCCTGACCTGGCTGCTTCCAGGTGGAAGTCCTGTGGGCTCTTCCTTCTGCCAGCAGGCCTCCTGGTAACAGATTGGTTGAACAAGTTAAGGCTGGATCAGAACAAACAGCTGTGGGCCACTCCATCATCCTGTCTTTCTCTTTAAACTAACTAACTCTAAATTAAGGCAGGGAAGCTTGTTAGACGTCTGTGCCCAGCTTAGAAGAGACCACACCAGACCAAACGGTTCCAAGTGGGGTTTATTCAGGAGATAGGGCAAAGATAGGGGAGAGGAGAAGAGGAAGAAGACGGAAGAAGAGACAGAAGAGAGAGAGAAAGAAGAGAGAGAGGTCAGGGGGTTCTGCCTGTTTTATATGGGCAGTGATGTAGCCTCTCCCAGGTGAAGGTGAGGTAGCCAGGTGGATTCTTGGAATGTATGGTGGATGCCTTGGCAACAATGTGGCATCACCTAGATGTGATGTCACTGTGTTCGGAGCCTGATACCAACAAAACTCTTCAGAGATTTTAAAAGCCCCAGCCTTGAGAAGAGACAGGATTTTCAGATTTCCAAGGGCCCTTCTGCTCTTTGGAGGGTATTTTCTCTGTGTCTGCTGCATGTGTGTGTTTCCCTATCCCCAATAAACACCTTTCTTAAGCTACTGATTGTGTCTGCTGCCGTTTTTAGTGTTTCAGATTTTTCTGCTACTACCTGTTGTAATCAAGATATCTACATACCCCGACCCTGCCTTTTAATTCTATAAATGACAGAGGACAAAAAAGCAAAAACAAAAGACCTCATTGAGATCCCTAGACACTATCAATGGGATGTGGGGTGCCACAATACATTTTTATAAATATATTTCTTGGCTCCACAATAGAGTAAACTTTTTTTTTTTTGAGACAGGGTTTTTCTCTGTATATCTCTGGCTGTCCTGGAACTCACTCTGTAGACCAGGCTGGCCTCGAACTCAGAAATCTGCCTGCCTCTTGCCTTCCAAATGCTGGGATCAAAGGCATGCACCACCACTGCCCAGCAATAGACTGACCTTTTGGCAACCCTCATAAGCAAAGTTAATAAACCACTTGAGATCATTTAAGACTATATAGTTAGCCTGTTATTCTACTGTATGCCCCTTCAGCCTGCTTAAGTTTAACCTGCCTTTAGGAGAGCACTGTAACCAATCTTGCCTTAGGTTTCCCATGCAATCAGCTTTTACAAGCTAAACCAGTGCATAGCTTTAATTTTAAATTGTGTACTTTTCAATGCCCTGACCCAGAATAATGTTATATGTATGTATGCATGTATTGTTAGTGACACATTTTTACTCAAAACAGACACAGGCTAGAAGAAATCTCAAAACAAATATCCACAATACACATTGCAAAGAATGCATGGAGAAAGGCTGAGAGTATGTTTGCAGCTTTATTACTAGCCTGGATCAGTTGGAGGCAGTGAAACAGTGAGTAGCCTATCCCCTTGTAAAACTCTGTTTAAGATTTTTATAAAGAACTCCTCATTCCTGGCTCGGTTTAGTGGCACATGCCTTCAAACCCAACACTAGGGAAGCAGAGGCAGTCAGATCTCTGTGAGTTCCAGGCCAGGCTGATCTACACAGAGTTCCAGCACAGCCAGGGCTACATGGTGAGATCCTGTCTCGAAACAAACAATAAATACAGAGTCAAGCCCTTTGTTAGGGACAAACACAGTTTAAGCACAAACACAACAGAAAGATTACAAGCGGGCCAGAAATGAGACTATGGACATTTGGAAGGTACAGGGAAAGAAGTGAAGACTTCACACTTGGTCTTGATCTTGGTCAAATTAATCCAAGAGGAAGCTGCTGTGTTTTCATTCTGTTGGAATCAAACAAATGAGACTTATCCTAAGTGCTGCCATTTTGTTTTCAGACTCCATTTTGATCATAAGTTGAAAATGAGTTCAAGTCTCTAGGCTCTAGGGGAGCTTCCCTGATGGCTAGGCCAACTTCCTCCTTTTCCTCCTCCTCCTCCTCCTCCTCGTCCACTTTCTATTCCCGAAACATAACAATTGTTTCTAACCATGAAAGAATAAACTATTCTGATTGATGGAAAGTTGTAACTGTAACTTGGGACAGATATTTGTGGATTTGGAGCTTGACAACTCTAACATTCTGGCTTGGAGTTCAGCTCTGCAGTCTGGTTCTATGACCCTAATCAATCGTTTCATCCCTAGTACAGTAAATTTTTATCATCTGCTTAAATAGTTACCAAGATGAACATTCAAAGATGCAGTCAGCTCCCGAGTCTGTGATGCTGTTGTCCTGACTGGTCAGTTTTTGCTGCCTCATTCAAATAAAGGTCTTGCTTTGTGTGGACGCTTGTGTCTGCTTGGGTTGTTTTGAGCTTTCAGACCCTAACAATTCTTTCATGAACTAATTCCCTCTGCTGGGTACTAGGGATCCAGAGCAGTTCTCAGTCCCTAGTAGTTCAGGCTTGCTTATGATAGCCGGATTCCTCCAGCAGCCAACACTATGCAGACCTTCGAAGTCTGAAGCCCCGCCCACCCCAGCCTTTACTTGGTCTGGCACTTGTCGGGTCCCAGGTGGAGGCTCACCAAGTGCTTGTGGCTCCTCTCAGCACTTCTCAGCCCGCCTGCTACCCTAAACCTCTCCCCAGCTTCTCAGTCCTATCTAACCCTGCCACTTCAGCCATGCATTCTCTTGGTCCTCAGCTCCTCTCTTGGTCTTCTGTTTTTGCCTCTTGGTCCCCCTCTCCCACCACCACCCGCCACCTCCTCCTAGTGCCCGGTTCAGTCTGGACTCTTCTAGACACCTCTGGCTGTGCTTTCCCTTATATCTACACCGACACCCTTCTCCTCAACCACACCTAGGAGCGGTCATGTCCTCATTTTTATTCCTTACTTAGATTGAGCCTCTATTGTATAAGTGGGTACAGAGAGAAGGCAGTCCATGCCTAGGTGGCCACAGGTGCTGTCTGCACTTTCCCTACTGATGGAGCTAGAGATCCGGACCATATGACTGGATCCTCTCCTAACTTGCTCACATTTCCAACCATGCCAACTTTCTTCTAGGTAGGTGGAGTGATGTGTATGGACTCCATGGGAAGGACTTCAACAGAAACACCATTTTCTGCCCTGTCTCCGACCCCCCATCCCCAAATGCCTTCACAGAGAGAATTCAAGGTCAGTGAGCTTTATTTGAAAGTTGAAAGGTGCCCTTAGCCCCAGTACCCCAGGGAGAGGTGGAGGGAGATTGACAGCCAGGCTTCCCTGCCCCCTTACCATCACCACTGCTGAAAGAAAGATATCCGAGGGTCAAGCATGAAGGTTCAGGACTTAATTGCAGTGCTTTCGAGGCTGAGCAGGAGGACAAGTTCAAGGCCAGCCTGGGCTACATGATGAGAGCCTGTCTCTAAACAGCCATTAATAATAATAATAATAAAATAGAGAAGATCCAGAGGTGTTGCAGCTTGGACTAAAGCTCTTCTCTCTGGGCCAGGATCTCCTGTGAGCAGGACCCATTGGTGCCCCCACAGAGCAGGGCCTCCAGATTCTCAGGGCCTTGGCGGTAGGCTTCATAGATCTGGTCCTCTCCAAACTCTCCCAGGTAGTGGAAACATGTCATGGAGAGCCTAGGAGAGCAAGAGGCAACCTGAGCTCTAACCTGCCCATGGGGAAGTCGAGGAGCAAAGCCAGACTCCAGGGGCTCCTTCCCCCACATGCTATTACCTATTGGGCCAGGGACCCCCAGTAATCATCACGCTGATGCTTGGCTCTGGCCCCTTGCTAAGTCCTGGGCCCATGAGACGCTTCATCTGGTTCACTTCTTGGACTCCATAGCTGATGGTAATGACAAGCGAGGGATGTGGGATCAGTGCAGGTCAGCTCGGGGAGGGGCTTGCTCCTAGTCTAGGCTAAGTATACTGAGCTCAGACAGGGGTAAGTCCAAGGCTCAAGATCTCACAGTGATCTTTCTGTGGCCATCTGCTCTCCCAGATGTTCCCAGCAGCAACTGTAGCCCAGATTTCAGCCCAGCCAACCTCCTCCCTCAGGACAGAGCCTTCGTGGAATGAGCATGAGTCATCAAGGGGAGGATGGAGGGCTGTACCCACCGGTACCCACCGGTACCCACCGGTACCCACCGGTACCCACCAGCCCTTCCCCTTAAGAATGTGGCAGGGACTGGATCAGCAACTCACGACTGCCAGTTCTGAGAGCAGGTCCGGTCCAGGACATCTGTGTATGTGGATTCACTCAGCTCCTGCAATCCACTGGAGTCTGGAGTGTGAGATTTAGCCTCTGCTTTCGCCAGATGTTGCCCCATCTGGAATGAGGAGGTGCTAAGAGCCTGAACTTTGGGACTGCTGGTCAATTGGGGGAAGGAGAGAAGAACAGATACCCAAGTCTCTAGGGAGAATTGAGGTGGCAGGGGAGCTGTTGAGCCGGAAGCACCTGCAAAGCAGGCTGCAGGGGCCCCTCCTAGGCCCCACAGCTGGGCTGGGCCAGCTCAGGCAGGACCTGCTCTCTTGGGGGAGAAAATGCTGACTGAAAGACCTGGCCCCTCCTTCAGGGCACACTTGCCCAGTAGCACATGCTATTTTTAAACCACGAGAACAAGGAAAGCCAAAATTAATGATAATGATAATAATAATAATAATAAATTAACCGGGGGCTGGAGAGATGGCTCAGTGGTTAAGAGCACTGACTGCACTTCCAGAGGTTCTGAGTTCAAATCCCAGCAACCACATGGTGGCTCACAACCATCTGTAATGAGATCTGATGCCCTCTTCTGGTGTGTCTGAAGACAGCTACAGTGTACTCATATATAATAAATAAATAAATCTTTAAAAAAAATAAAATAAATTAACCAGTCTTTAATTATACATGTACTCACTCAACCCTGAGTACATACAGAAACGTGGTCACACAGGCATGCTTGAGTTGAACAAGCATGGTGGGTTCACATAAATACATATGTATTCAACATGTGTAAAGTAAGGCACCTCAGGGACCTGGGGAGGGTGTCCAGACGAAAAAGGATACAGACAGGGAGAATAATAAGAGGATGAATGATTTCCTGGGGTGACAAGGTAAGATGGGGCCATCTCAGATTGTCTGCTCTTTGGTGACCAAATAAAAGAATAAACTGTGGCATGGCAATTCAAGAGAAGGGGGCTCGTAATGTCCTGGAAAGACGGCTGATTAGGGCTGAGGGCTGGGTATTAAAGGCTCAACAGTGAGGTCTAAGATAGACGGAGTGGTCAGAGCTGCTGGGGACAGGCAGAACTTACTTGGTAGGCTACAGCCCGGCAGGCATCGCAGCGCAGGTGAGTCGGCATATGAGATGAGTACTTCTCTTCATCATCCAGTGTGGGAGCTGTAGCTGAGAGGGAAACCCTATCCCCGAAGCTCCCCAGGATAGCCCTGCACCCGAACAGTAGCAACAGTGGTAGAGGCAGTCTCATGGCCTCTGAACTTACTTCTTGGAGCACAGGCTGCTGTGGGGTGCAGATGTGCATTCGAATTATCTGTGGTTTAGGCCAATAGGGAACTGACACCTCACTGACCCTCTTCCCTTCCAGTGAGGCCCTGGAGATGCCACGCAGGCACGCAGGCACGCAGGCACGCACGCAGGCACGCACGCAGGCTCTGTAGCAGGGCCCTGGCTCCTGGTGACTCAGCTCCGTTTCACAGGTAGAGGATGGAGATGCAAGGACAGAGGCTGAGGCTGGCCAGGGAGACTTGGTGGCTAATGGAGAGCACTTACTGTGACCTCAGCAACTGTACCGAACATCCTGTGGGGCGAAGTGGCTGGTTACAATCATCTTTATTCTACTACAGAGGATGTGAAAGGTCAGAGAGAAGAGATAAATCCTCTAGCTTGAGAAGCCATGTTGAGAGTGGTCCCCAATGCCCACTGGTCACAGCCTCCAGGAGGAATGTGGCCATGGCTGTGGTTGCTAGCTTAGGGCTCTAACTGTAGTGAAGCAGAGTTACTGAGTCTGGGAGACCACAGTGTATGAGAGTTTACATGGCCTTTTTCTCCAACCCTAGGCTGCCCTTTACCTAGGCCAGAGCCAGCCATGGAGGGCTTTGCGGAAGGTGTTTAAGAGGCAGCAAGCAGAAGAAACCTCAGTGGTTAAGAGCAATTGCTTGGGCTGGTGAGATGGCTCAGTGGTTAAGAGCACTGACTGCTCTTCTAGAGGTCATGAGTTCAAATCCCAGCAACCACATGGTGGCTCACAACCATCTACAATGAGATCTGATGCCCTCATATGGGTGTCTGAAGACAGCTACAGTGTACTTACGTATAATAAATAAATAAATCTAAAAAAAATATAAAAAAAAAAAAAAAAAAAGAGCAATTGCTTGTCTTGCTAAGGACCTGGGTTTAGTTCCCATCACACACACAATGGTACACAACCATCTGTAACTCCAATTCCAGAGGGTTCAATGCCCTTTTCCGGCCTTCATGGGCCTCAAGCATACACGTGGTGTACATACATACATGCAGGTAAACACTCATAAAATAAAGATAAGTATTTTAAGTGTTATTTATTTGACTTTTCGAGACAGCCTTGGCTGTCTTGAACTCATAGAGATCTACCTGCCTCTGACTCTCAAGTCCTAGGATTAAAGGTGTATACCATCATGCCAGGCAAAAGTGATGTTTTCTGTTTTGTTTTTAAAAGGTGGCAGCAGGAAATTAGGATCATACACATAGTTGTCATTTCAGTCACCATGGCTCTCCATGGTCAGCCATTTATTGCACACCAGGTCAAGATGATACACTCTAGGGGTGGCCCGGTCCCTCCATGTCACTGGGACCAGTGTCTCTCATAGAGATGTTGAGGTTATTTTGAAGGTGTATTTTAGCCAATTTCCAATCTAGGGCAAGGTTGACAGAAACTCCAACGGATCTTAGCTACACAGGCTCGGAACCAGAAAGCTATCAAATGCCTACCTGGCATTGCTTCTAGTGGGAACTATCCTTTCCTAAACACCTCATGTCAAAACACCTCTCTAGCAAGGCTCAAAACGACACAGAGATCACCTCCAACCTCACAGAGATTGTTCTCTGGCCCTCAGTTTATCCCAGACTCAGAGCAGCTAGAGCACAGGTTTGGGGTCTTTCCTGTGCTGTGAGCAGCCAGAAGGGCCAGTCCTTGTGTGGGCACTGTTGCCTCTGCTCCTGGAGGAACATGGAACCAGCTAATGGGTCAGGGCCCCTGGGTCTACTCCATATAGGAACACCCTTCCTCTTGCCAGTTCTAACTCACCCAGTGTAATAACAGCCCGGCCTTCCTCCCTCTTGTCATCCTGGTGATCCAAGTTTACTTGCTGTCTATAGAGGTGGGGATGGCTTCAAGATAAGCTAGCTCAGCTCCCAGGGTCTACAGAAGACAGGAGGAGCTAGGTTCCTGCTGTTAGCTGTAGTCATATTTTTGTTTGTTTGTTTGTTTGTTGTTTTTGAGACAGGATTTCTCTGTGCAGTCCTGACTGTCCTGGAACTCGCTTTGTAGGCTGGCCCTGAACTCACAGAGATCCACCTGTCTTTGCCTCCAGAGTGCTGGGATCAAAGCACCGCCCAGCTGTCACATCATTTTATGAAGCTCCTCCATCTTGGTTAAATAACAATTCCCAAAATTAAAGTAACTTGTTTTTCTAGATTCTTGCTTTCCCTGCCCTCTCAACTCCAGAAATGGGTAAAACAAGAGAAACATTTGCTGACCATTTGAGATTCCTTAATTCACTACTTGTCCCTAGTCACCCCTAGCCACAGAAACACCCAAAGAAGAGTAATCTTCCTCCCCTTGCTCATTTCCTAGTCCCTCCTGCCGGCCTTTCTGTGGAGGAGCTGCTTGTCCCATTGGCTGTCTTTACAGCAATCCCGGGCCATTTTACCAGTTCTCTCTCTTCCAATCCAGGCCGACCCTCCACATCTCCTTACACAGCATCCATATTCCATCTCCAGCCGCTATCCTCATCGCTCTCATTCGCTGCCCCAAAGTGCCCTGGGGCCATACTGGGTTCTCCCATAGCCTCCCAGGACAAAGCGCACATCCAGATTTGATGGCTGTCACCCATCTCTTCCATCTCAGCAGCACTGTCCTGCTCCACTCAACTGGGCCCCGTGTTAGAGAGATATAAGCAGTTCACCAAGGCAGCCCGAGTCCTGCTGCTCCACACCTGCTATTCTGGGAAACCACAACACCTCTTAGACTGGCTTCTCACTTTGACAAATTTGCTTGCCTACATAAACACATACACAAACACACCGCACCCTGGGAAGGTTTGGGAAAGGGATACATATTTTTGTTGGGAGGTGGGGGGTAGGCAGCCGGCCGTTTGCTAACGATGCTCCAGCACTATCAGCCCAGGTAGCATATACATTGTCTTAAGGTCACTTCTGGTCTGGTGACTGGCTGGAACTGGCCAAAAAATTGATGGGAGACAAAAGTTAAAGAGACTGATCCGGAACTTCCAAAGCCTTCTAGGGAACCCAACTCCATGGGGGAAAGGGCCGAGGCTTCACAAAGGAAATACAGATCCCTTGCTGGACTGGATGGGACCAGAACTGGAGGGTGGGGCACAGAAAAGCATCTGAGGTGCCGGACTAGGGGTCCCGCTCAAGGGCATGTAGTACATCCCCTCCAGGGGTCCAGCCTCAGGAGCCCAGGGTAGCTGGAGACTACCAAGAGCCGGCAGGTTGGGGGACAGTGGCGACAGTGATGGGCCAGAGATAGGCCCATAGGCGGGCGGGTAGAGGCCGGGCCCTAGGGCCATCGGGGCATAGGGCTGGCGTGGCTGCCGGGAGGGAGAGGGCGAGGGTGGCAGCAGTACTTCCACGTACTGCCCGCTTTCAGGATCGAAGAGTAGCCGCAGCCTCGGCTGCCTCGGCGCCTCCACAAAGTAGTACCGGCCGCTCTCGGGGTCTACGAGGACCTTCCCCGCGGGCGGGGCTCCCGGAGGCCTCCGCGTCCCCAGGGAGGATGCTGGAGGGAGCCGGTCGGTGGGAGGCGCAGAGGCAGCTCGCGGGAAGGGTGCAGCCGCCCTGGCTGCAGTCGCCGGAGGGTCGGGAAGGAGGGGCGCCTGGACCGCAGTTGTAGGAGCCACAAGCGGCGTCTCCAATTCGGGTGCTGCCCTATGGCTCGAGTTTGGAGACGCTTGCGGGGAGCTGGGGCGAGGTGGTCGGGTCCCTGTGGACTCTAAAGGGGAACACTGGGTTGAGGTGCGAGCGCCTCCTAAAGGACTGGTCCGACCCTCGCGGTCCCGGACCAGGCGCTGGGTCTCAGCATCCGGGTTTTCTCCTCCAGGACTGCGTCTTTGGACACTCGCGGTTTTCTCTCGCCGCTGGCCGAAGGCTAGAGCGCCAGGCAAGCGGATCTCACTGCGAGCGAAAGGTTTCGCGGTGCTGTTCTCTGCCCTCCGCCTCGGGACCCCGCTGGACTGGGAGGCATCCTTAGGGGTTGCATGGAGTGAAGGCTCTGGTGACTCGTAGGGATGAGGTACCACAGGCAGAAAGTCCTTGAGAAAAATGGAAGTGTAATGCGCCGGGGCGGGCGACTCGAGTGCCGGGAGCTTATGCGTTTTGGACGCATCACCGTCCTCCCCGCAGGTATCTACAGGAGGCGCGGGAAGCCCGGAGCCTGGGGTCCCTGCAGCGAAGCTTGGCGCGTAAGTAGTCTTAACCATCTTGCGCACGTCTCGCGGCCGGGGAATGGTCACGCGCGGACGCCCAGAAGCCGCTTCTCCCGAGCCCAAGGCTTCTGGGCCCACATTGTCGTCTAGAGTGCTTGTGAGATGACTTCGGGACTGTTCCGGTGTGTCTACATCTGGAGACCGCTGACCGCCTCTGAAGGCAATATCCGCATTTTCCAGTGAGAGCAGACACTGCGCCTCTGTGAGCTCTGGAGTCTCGGGTGCTGATGGTGTAGGCGGCTCCAGCTCCTGAGTTAGGCCATTCATAGCTTCCTGGGGCAATGCCGTCGATGAACCCTGCACAACAGGACTCCAAGTCTCTCCGGGTGATGGGCTACGCGTTTCAATGGGATGAGGTGAGTCCCGTGAGAGCAGGGACGGCAGGGACTGGTCCCTACTCAGCCCTACTGCATCTCCGCCTCTCGAGTTTGGAACCTTCCGCACAATAGGAGCTTCGGGACATGGGTTCCCAACTCTAGCGACACCCTGAGTCCATTGGGAAAGTGGTGGCGGGGAAGGGGTCCTTCTGCTGCTGACTTCCTCGACGGAGGCATTCCGATTTTCCCATGCAGAGGATGCTCCAGGGAAGGCCGGGCTACTGGTTCTCCAAACAATCTTAAGAGGTTGTGGGAGGTTCTGGGGAGACGGACAGCGAGGACCCCGCACGGCCCCGTTTGGAGCCTGCTGCGGAGGAGATGGGCTCCTCGGCCTCACGACCCTACTGGGAACTACCCGGGAACCTCTAGAATGGAAAGGAGGACTCTGTGCCCTGGGCACGGTTCGATCAGGAGTCTCACGGGGGAACTGGGTCTTGGATTCCTGTTTGTGAGTCTGATGAATTTTCTCCTCTGACTGCAGAAAAATGCTGGAACTAACTGGACCCAGAGGCTCGGTGCCGGGCGCCGGCTTGTCCCGCCGAATTGCCCGCTCTCGGAGGCTAGGCCAAGGGCGCGGGGCTCTGGCGGAGGCAGAATTATCCTGCGCGCGGGGTGGCCGAGACTTAGCCACTTCCGGGACCGCACGAGTGCTGGCTGCCGTCTCCTGAGAGTTCCTCGTGGATTCTGGCTTGCCGGTAGACTTAAAAGTGACGTTGTGGGGGGCTGGGACAGCAGAGCCCAGCTTTCTGGCCAGCGCCGTCTGCACGATGCCCGCGGCGGCCTGCAAGCGGCTCAGAGACTCGTCCAGGGAGCCGGTGCGCAGGAGCAGTCGGGGACGCGGCGCGCGACTGTCCTGCGAGGGACTCCGAGGCCGCGGACGCAGCTCGATCTGACGTTTCGGCACCGTGCGGGCTCTAACTGGAGCGGTGCGCTCCTCCAGGGCCACCTCCACACACTCGTACTGGCCTGAGACGGCAGGACTCGGCTCGCGGGGCGGCAGCTCCAGATAGGTGGCCCAGCGAGATCCCCCGTCGGGGACCTGCGGCTGCGACGAGACAGAGGCAGGAGACACTGGCCCGGGCAGCAGGCGACTGCTGAAGGTAGGCGCCATGAGCTGTTGCTCCTCCAGATCCTCCGCGTCCGAGCGGCTGAACAGAGGCCCCGCGCCGAAGATGACTTCCATCTCCCCCGACGGCAGCATGCGCAGCTGGGGCCGGGGCGGCGGCGGGCCGGAGCCCGGGCCTCGCGGGAAACCCGAGCCGGAGCAGTGCTGCTGGCGGCTATTCTGGGCGCTGACGGACAGGACAGGCTGCGCGCCCGCCCCCCGCCCAGGAGCCACCCAGAGCCAAGTCCCCCGGCCTTCTGTGTCCGGCCCAACGTCCGGGGGCTCCGGAGAACCCGGAGCTGTGTGGTAGGAGCCGGACGAACCGGACGAGTCCTGACGCCCCGCAGAGGCAGGCAGCCGCCTTGAGAGCCCGGGAAGGGCTAGCGGGGTGAGCGCAGTCAGCATGGTGGGCAGGACACCTAGCACTACCTCCCGCGCAGTGCCTCCGCTGGTGGCTCCTGCACTGTCCCCGCCCCCGCCTGGAGGCCTCGGGGTCAAAGCGTCTTAAAGCGCCAGCGTCAACGCCTGAGCTAGCGGCGCTGGCAGCAGAGAGACCTAAGCTGCGGGCCCTTCGGGGTGAAGCCCCCCATGCCGAACTTTCTCCAACACAGGTGCAGCGTGGGGGTGGGGATCCAAACCCAGGCTGACAGGCATGTGAGAAGAAAGCAGGCCTAGCTTTAGTGAGGAGGCAGCAGCTAGGCCCAATTCTAGAAAACTCTGGCCTTGCAAAGGGCTTACCCGAGATGAGGTTCAGGGTGTGAGATCTTGAAATTCCATATCCTCAGCCCCCAACTTTTACATCCCAAAGAAACTCTCCTCCATGCCTTCCTTGTGCTTGACTTCCCTCACACCCTCACACCACCTTTGATAGGGTTAAGAATTATCAGAGGGCTCTCTCCTAACTCAGGTAGGTGCTGGCTAGACTCATGGCTCTTAAGCCAATAGAGAAGAAAGAGCTGGAGGATGAACTCTAGCTAGCTTTCACAAGCGGCTCAGCACCCAGAACAAACATCGGAGACAAACCAATCTTTGTAGGGTTCCCTCTAAAGTCCTAGGCCCACAAGGCAACCTTATTCCAGTCCCCCAAAACATTCATCCCTTCTCTCATAGGGAAGCAGTCACCAGCTGTCTTTGTCTTATGACAGACAATAGGACAGGACTGTCCTTCTGGCTTGACCGTCCTGCTGTGACTCAGGCTCCAGCTGGCCCGGATGCACCGCCCCTCCTTTGCACCCAGCCTCACAGTGACACAGCACAGGATAGATTTAACCAATCTTAGTCTTGTGGCTCTTGTGCTCCCCACAATTACCTAGGGACACACTCAGTGATGGCTTCTGAACGGAGCTGACCTTTCATCCTCTCAGATCTTCCTGAGCAGCTTGAGTAGGCTGTCCTTTCCCTGTTTCCCTGCTTTAAAAAGTTTTCTCACTTTCTTTGAAGGCTTTGACAGTTTTTGTACAGCAGTGTAAGAAGGTGCAGATGTGATCTGTATGGACAGTATGCATATATTCTCATTACCTGATGCCTTCCAGTTTCTCAGCTTCACTGTGGTCCTGGAATCCAGTCTTAGAATTTCTGGTCAGGTCTAACATGAGTACACACACACACACACACACACACACACACACACGCACAGATACATGCATAAGCACAAGTACAGATACGCACTCCCACGCTCCATTCTGCCCTAACCCTATAGCTAACCCAGAGAATGACATTTTATTAGAGTCCAGGTAAGGTGTAATTGGGCTAACTGTATGTAGGAAAAAACCTAATCACCAAAAGCAAGCAGCAGTGTCTACTGACCCACAGTTTCAGCAAGACCCACAAAGACCCAGTTCCCACTCACTCCCATTGGCTCTACCCCATCCCAAACGAGGGCAATAGCAGGGCCTGAGGACGTGAGCAGTGTCCTAAGCTCAGAAGAGGCGGCTGCAATGGTGGTGGTCCCTAGACCTGACTCCCATGAAGCCCTTGGACCCCTGATTTTTTATAGGAGACAAACAGAGCAACTGCTCTTGGAGGAGCACGGGACCCCAGGAATGGAAGGAAAGAGCTGGTCTCCCCAGGATGGAGAAGGTAGAGTAGAGGTTGGGCATTACAGCTAGAAAATAGGAAGGTAACCAGCAGTTTATTTTTCCCTGGAACACTGACGGCTACGGGCCCGACGTGTTCCTGAGGCTTTCTTATGCTTCTGGTCCAGCACCTGGGCCATGTAGGTCTCCTGCTGCTTCTGGATCCGGAAGTCAGACATGTGATTCCTGCAACGGAGCCAGCTGGTCGTAGGCTGGACAGCCCTGGGTAGGGGCCAGAAGTCAGGCTCCCCACTTCCATCAACAACCCCCAGCCTGGCCCAGCGCCTCACCTGAAAATCTGTTTCTGCTGGCTGATAACTTGCTGTAATTCTTTAATCTCATTCTCTTTGCCATTAAGTATATCTTCTTGCTTTATAATGTGGGATTCAATTTCTGTGGGGGAGAGAGGCAGGGGGGAGGGGTGGTTCCCACTCTCAGGCTTCTGAGTTGAGGTCTTCCTTTGTGTGGCTCTTCAAACTTGGCTCTCCCTGCCCAGGAGTTCTTCTTGAACAGCTGCCTGTACCTTCGTATGAATGAGGTTGCTTTTCTGTATTGGAGACTGAACCCAAGGCCTCACACATGATAGGTACCACAGAGCTCTAGCCTCCATTTTTTTTGGGGGGGGGTAGGTGGCAGGATTTTTCTACATAGCCCTGGCTGTCCTCGAACTTACTATGCAGACCACGCTGGCCTTGAGCTCAGAAAGAACTCGTATCTGCCTCCCGAGTGCTAGGATTAAAGGCATGCTACCACGTCACACTCCCCCAATCCCATACCCAGCCTCTTTTTCTTTCTTATTTTTTAATTTATTTATTTTGAGACAGGGTCTATTATAATAGCTCTGGCTATTCTGGAACTTGCCATGTAGACCGGGCTGGCCTCAACTTTAAGAGATCCCCCTGCCTCAGCCTCCTCCCAACTGCACCAACACACCCATCTCTACTATCTACTTGGTTTTGAGGCAGAGGCTCATTAAGTTGACCAGGCTAGTCTTAAACTCACTCTGTAATCCTGGTAGGCCTTAAACTTTGGGTCCTGCTACCTCAGTTTCCTAAGTAGCTAGGCTTACGAGTGTTCACCACAAGACTGCCACATTAGCAAGTTTTTGGGGGCTCCTGAGTAGGGACAATGATTCTGTCAGTAACTTTATCACTGTATTATGAATCTCACCTAGGTAAGGATGGGCAAAAATCCTTGGAGAGAAGCAGAGGGTCCTGTCACAGCCCTGGCTGGCCCTTAGGTCTTTATACTTCCATGGTTAGACCCTTGCTCTAGAAATTGCAGCCTCTCCCAGTACTTCCTATTCCCATCCTGTCCCTTTTGTTCCTTGTGCCCATGTCTAAAGTGTCTCATCCATCAATTGTTGGCCTTTTCTACAACTAGGACATCAGGTCCACAGGGACAGGGACTATTACTTTCACCACTGTTAACTTTAACACCTAAAACAGAGACTGGCTCATAGATCTGTGTACTGTGGAATGAACAAGATGTCCCTAAAGGCTTTGGGCTTTGAAATACCAAGTTTGGGCATCTCAGTTAAAGCAGACCTAACAAGGGCAGACTGAAGTCAAGCCTTGTGCTATACAGGGCCTCTGGTGGGAGATGAAGTCCTTGACGACTCCAGACATGTGCTTAACTTCTCAAAAGGCGGAGTCAGGACTCAGGAACTAGAAGCTGGATAGATGGCTCAGCAGTTAAGAGCACTGACTGCTCTTCCACGGGACCCTGAATTGGTTTCTAGCACCCTATGGTAATTCCTAAACATGTTAAGTCTACTTCCCGGGGATCTGGTGCCCTCTTCTGATCTTCACGGGCTCTAGGCACACACATGGTGCACATACATGTATGCAGGCAAAACAGTCACACACATAAAATAAACCTGAAAACTAAGGGTGGAGGCATGTGCTACTACATCCCAGCACTGGGAGGAGGTAAGAGTATGGGAAGTTTAAGGACAGTCTGGGCTACCTTAGATGCCCATTTCAACAGAATGGATGGATGGATGGATGGATGGATGGATGGATGAATGAATGCATGCTGAGGAGTTGAAGGCTGGTGCTGTGGCTCTTTACTAGAACACTTGCCTAGCATGTGTGAGGCTCTTGGGTTTGATTTCCTGCACAGAAGCAAGGAGAGAGGAGAATAAAAACAAAAGACAGAAGAGGAAATGATCAGAGGAGGATGGCTGCACTGGAGGAAGGCTCACGATCATGAGGCAGTGGTAGTGAGCTGGGCTAGCTGCTTTTCAGACCAGGTTCCTCATACATAGACAGTCCTTAGTCCACAGTAGCATGGAGAGGACCTAGCGGGACAGTGATGGAAAAGCCTCCCTCCTAACCAAGCACACATCAGAGACAAGGCTTTTTGTGTCTTAGGTCAAAATCCAAGGTGGCTATAAGGATCTGGGAGCACTTACATAACTGTCCTTCATAGAGCCCTGGAAAATTTTGATCACAAAGGGAGAAAAAAAAAAGTCCCTCTGATTAAAAGGATGGTTGCACAGGACTGGGAAGGCAGTTCAGTGGTCTAGTGCATGCCAATACTTAGCTGGCAAAGCCCTGGGTTCAATTCCTAGCACCATTAGAGAGAAAAAGGGGAATGTTAAGTGTGGTGGCACATGGTGTAATCCCAGGGGTTCAAAGTCACTCCTTAGAAAGCTTGAGGCCAGCCTGGAATTCATGAGAACCCATCTTGAAAAGGGGTAGGGGGCTGAGGAGTGAGCTCAGTGGTTAAGAGCACTGGCTGCACTGGGAAGTGGTAGCGCACGCCTTTAATCCCAGCACTTCGGAGGCAGAGGCAGGTGGATTTCTGAGTTCGAGGCCAGCCTGGTCTACAGAGTGAGTTCCAGGACAGCCAGGGCTACACAGAGAAACCCTGTCTCAAAAAACCAAAAAAAAAAAAAAAAAAAAAAACCAAGAAAAACCAAGAGCACTGGCTGCCCTTCCAGAAGACCTGGTTCCATCCCCAGCACCCACTAGTTAACAACTTCCTGTAACTCTCTGTGCACATGCAGACAATACACCTATACGTGTAATGAGATAAACAAACCTAAAAAATCCAAAATGATTAAAGTTAGAGAAATATAAAAAAAATGGAGGAGGGGGAGAACGGGGAAGGGCTTGTTCTGTGAAACACTCACCTTGCAAGCGAGCACTAGGTGTGGTGGTGTGTGCTTATAATCCTAGTGCTAGAGAGGCAGAGGCAGGAGGATCCCTGGGACTTTCCTGGCCAGCCAGCATGACCAAACTGGAAAGCTTCAGGCCAGTAAGAGTCTGTCTTACCAGAAGTGGGTACCATTCCTCAGGATAACATTAGAGGTCGTCTTCCAGCTTCCAGATGCATACACACACACACACACACACACACACACACACACACATAAATACGTACAATTTAAATGGGATGGGGGCTACAGAGGTGGTTTGGTTGGTAAAATGCTTGAGCAATAGACATGAAGGCTGCAATCTGGATGCCCAGCACCCACACAAAAAGCCCCTGTAGCCGGGCGGTGGTGGCGCACACACCTTTAATCCCAGCACTTGGGAGGCAGCAGCAGGATTTCTGAGTTCGAGGCCAGCCTGGTCTACAGAGTGAGTTCCAGGACAGCCAAGGCTACACAGAGAAACCCTGTCTTGAAAAAAAAAGAAAAGAAAAGAAGAAAAGAAAGAAAGGAAGAAAGAAAGAAAGGAAGGAAGGAAGGAAGGAAGGAAGGAAGGAAGGAAGAAAGAAAGAAAGAAAGAAAGAAAGAAAGAAAGAAAGAAAGAAAGAAAGGAAAAAGCCCCTGTAATCTTAATGTTGGGGAAGTCAAGACAGTGGATCCTTGGGGCTTGCTGGCCAGTCAGCCTAGTCAGAACTGGTAAGTTCCAGGTTTGGTGTGAGACTTTGTCACAAGAATAAGGCAGCGGGCCAGTGAGATGGTTCAGCAGGTAGAAGTGCTTACTGTTCAGCCAGAGGACCTGAGTCTGATCTCCAGGACCCACACAGTAGACGGAGAAAGTGAAGGCTAAATTTTCCTTTTACCTCCACACATATACTGTGGGATGCACGCACACACACACACACACACACACACACACACACACAACTATAATACAAAACCACTGTTTAAAAAAAAATGCCAGGTAGTTAAAGACTTGGCTTAGCGTTTAAAAGCACTTGTTGCTTTTGCAGAGAACTCTGGGTCAAGGCCCATCACTCACAGGGCAGCTCACAAATCCAGTGCCAGGCTGTCAGATGCCTTCTTCTGGGATCTGTGGGCACCAACCATGCACAGAGTGCAGATACACACATACAGGCAGGTAAAACATTCACACACATAAAATAACATGGAGAGTGGTTGAGGATGGCTCCTAACTCTGACCTGTGGACCTTGCCTACACAGACACGGGCACACACAGGGGAGGAGGGAGGTGGAGAAGAGGTAGCTACAGCACAAGCCCCAGCCACGCAGGCATGTCGGTGCATTTAGCAGTTCAGGTGAAATCCAGCACAATGTACAGGAGAGGAAGGAGACATTGGTGAAGGCTGGAGGCCAGGAAGGAGCCACTGCATGATGGTTTTTGTTTTGTTTTTGAGACAAGGTCTTACACAACCCACAATGGCCTCAAACTCCAAATTCTCCTGCCTCCACCTTCTGAATGCTGGAATTAGAAGCATGTGCCACAACATTTGGCTTCTAGCTTCTTTTCTTTCTTCCTTTTTTTTTTTTTTTTTTTTTTTTTTTTTAAAGATCTGGTAATCCTAGGCTCTATTCTCAGGGGAAGGGCATGGCTCTGGTAACCCCAGTCTACAGTCCTACGGAGTGCCTTGATCCTGAGTTTTAAGATCCCAAGTAGGATTGTGCTTGTTCTATGACTCCTCTTGAAGCAAGGTTATACATAGAGTATACTATTTCTAACACTTATCAAAAAGGGAAAAAACAAAAGGTGGACTAAGAAGGTTGTATGTTTCAAGAAAAATGGGAGCGAGCCCGTTCCTTTATGGCTGTGAAGAATACCGCACACTGACCGCGTCCATCATTTCCGGGGCCTGCCTGGTCCCTGAAGGCACTTTCGAAGATGTGACCCGCCTGGACTTGCCTGTATCCTCAGCCGGGGGCAGAAGCTGGGGTAGAGCCCTGCTTTTGGCACCATCACTGGGCTGGTGGAAAAGAGCCCGTGTATGTTAACTTGGGGGGCAGCACGGGCCTCCCGCCTACCATTGCACTTGGTGATGAGCTGGTCCTTCTTGCTAGACTCCTGCAGGACTCTGCTCTTGACACTGGAGAGCCTGGAGGAGGTTAAGATGAAAGGGTGGGCAGGCAGAAGGCAGACGAGCCCCCAAGCTCTGAGCCCCTTCCTGAGGCCCACTCACTCACGCTTTTTCAAAGGCCATTTTCT